AAGATGCGATTTTCAATGGCGATGATTCTGTCGTAAATTTTATAACTTTATATATAAGTATTATTATAATATAAACAATAATAATAAAAATAATAATACAAATATAAATACTTAGAGGTAATAAAATTCATTTAATTTTGCATCATATACTGCTGCAAATGTGGTTTAGAATAAAAAAAAGACAACCCAATATGAAAATATTCATAAACAATGCTAGAAGTAGTAAAAATGTAGTTGTAGTTTTTAACTTCTTTTAAAAATATTCTCCAGTGGCGACAGTTGCTGCAAATGTGGCGGCTTCTGTAGCAGCTTCAGCAGATGTAGTTGTTTTGTCGCAGCGACCAGTAGCAGCAAGTAACTGCTGTGATAGTGGCCGAAAAAGAGGACATTAATATTGCTGGCGTGTCGTCGCGAGAATGATGTTAGCACTTCGATGATGAAAATTTTAATTGCCTAGTATTGTGATAGACTGAATGAGAAAGCACACACAAAAAAAATGAAAATAAAAGAACAAAAGAATGAAGTAAGGAGTGAATGAGTGTACAAATGAGTGACTGAGTGGATTAATTAAAAACGAGTGAAAGAGTATAGAACACGTGATTAAATGAGTAAATGAATGAACGATACACCAACAAAAGCTTGAAAGAATGGAAAAATAAAAGAATAAATAATGAAAGAACGAATGAAGAAATAACATTACTCGCATAAATTATCAGATGAATGAATGAAATGATTGAGTGAACTCATTAATGGACAAATACATTTAAAAAAATAAAAATAAATTAATGATAAAATATATGAATGATCATTACAAATGTAATTTGATGTGTCGTTCATGATGATGATGACGACGACGACGATGATGAGTAAGGTAAAGATGGTGATGATGACGGTGATGATAATGATAAATACGTTGATGATGGTGATGATGATGATGTTAACGATGATGGTATGATAATATGAATGTGGTGATGGCTAGCTTACAACAGTTTTGGCTTCATGAAAACAACAACTTCGACTACTCAACACGGACGACCTAAATATCGTTCGTAAAAATGTCTACGACAACAACAACACCACTACCAACAGCAGCAGCAACAACAGCAACAACAACAAAACAACTTCGACAACGACAAATCGTAGTTTGGCAAATGGTGAAGAATGAAGGAGACAATTGAACTGCCAAACCGTTATATGTATACATATGTTTCATTCGTGCGTGCTCTTCTTCTCACTCTCTCTCTCTCTCTCTCTCTCTCTTTCTTTCTTCCTCTCACACACACACACGCACGCACACACACACATTTTACACACTAAATCGCGCACACACGACACAGTAGGACGGCTGAATTTTACTTGGGTATCAGTACAAAAAATTGACTATTTTAAATCTCTCTCTCTCTATTTCTCTTTCTTTCTTTTTTTATATATGTGTGTGTCTGTGTGTGTGCGAGTGTATGTGTTGTTTATTTATATATCAGCATGTTTTTTGCAATCGTTAGCGCGAAATGAGAAGCATTAACATCCTCTGCCGTCTGCTCTCCGCTCGAAACTTTTTTTAAGTAAAGAAACGTAGTAAAAAACAAACACACATACATACCTTGTGCATGTACACACGCATATACACATACACACACAGGCAAACACACAAATACATATACCTATACGCACTACACTTTTTTTAATTAAATTCAACTTAGATATTCTTGTTTTGTTTTTTTGATTATTAATACTGTGTTTATTTTATTTGTGCGTGTGTGTGTGTGTGTGTGTGTGTGTGTGTGTGTGTCTGGTGAGTTTTAATAGGAGTAATCATTTATCATATTCATGGAAGTAGTAACATTTTAATAAAATACGATAAATCGTTTTGTTTGACCTCCATTTTGTTGTTCCGTATAAATAATCTTTCTTTGTTTTTCAACCTCATTACTTAGCCATTTTTCAAGTCAAAAGTTAATCTGCCTTTTTCTCTGTTCTGCTAGAGTGAATAAAATTCTTAATTTGAAAATTGAAACTTAAAATTGGTAATTGAATTAAAAATCACACTGAATACTTAATGCTAATCCGGAGCAAAATATATTTATAGATTTTTGGAAAGGTTTCCTGGCATAATTTCTTCCATTTCCTTCAATGGCGGAAGTAATTAAAAACGGACTTTAAATAAAATACTAAAAAACCCGCTCAAAATCAAAATAATTTTTATTTTTTTTTGAATAGTGAAAGAAAAAAGGATAAAAAAATAAAGTTATTCATCTACTTCCGCTCTTTAGAAATAACTCCATTTATATTAAATGAATGCAGGACCGTTAATAAGTGCGTTCCACTACTACTACTACTACTACAAACAACTACTACGATTACTACTACTACAAGTACTACAAAACTACTATAACTGCAACTAATTTTACTACTACTGCCACTACAATTGTTATTTTTATTATTATTATTAATACTTTTATTACAGCGAGACTTATCAGAGCGAGCGGTTTTCGCGGCCATCAGCGTCACCAGCCACTGTCCCATCACGCGCGCAGATCGCATAAATAAACGTTAACGATGATATCAATAATAACGTTGACGGAAGCTGAACCTGACGTCATCATCATTCTCTGTGACGTCATCATCATTCTGTATGACATCGGCACTCTTCTGTGACGCTGATCAAAAGCCTCCATCAAAGATACTAAAACATACTTGGAATCCTCGCGTGTGACGTCATAGCGCCACGGGCCGCCAGCCAGTCACGTGATCAGGCGATTGGGGTAATTTCTATTTGCTGTTTTTTTTCTCTTTTTATTCTTTTGTAGTTGTCATTTTATTATTATTATTGATCCTGTCTTTGTTGTCGTGATTGTCTGGATGATTGTAATAACTAGCCATATAACTTTTTTTGTCATTGATGAAAGTGCAGACATGTTTGTTTGTTACTGTTCTTCTTCTTGCTGTTGTTGTTGTTGTCGTTGTTGTTGTTGTCGTTGTTGTAATTAATGTTGTTTGGTTTTTTCCATAAGTATTTCGTCATTATATTTTTGTTGTATTGTGCGCAAAAAATGATTCGTCAGAGGTTTTCTTGTTTCTAACTAAGCCCAATATAAATTTTCGTATAAAACACAAGATAAATATCTAGAATAAAAGTTTTTTCTATAAAATTTGATTTCTATTTTATTTTCATATTTCAAATTTAACAGAACAAACATTCAAAAAGTTCAGTACACAATTCAGAACTACAGTACAGTACAGAGTTAGTGCAGTAGCAAATTATTGAACTGCTCAAACAAACAAATCTATCAAATAAAGACGTATCAGTTTGTTTAAGGACTTGTCAATTGAATTCGGTAGCATCGTCAGGTAGGTTCCTTCATATTTTTATAGTCTCGGGACGAAAAAATATTTATAAAATTGTTGTATAGCACTGTATCTATGGATATTATATCCATGATTGTATCAACACAAAATGACTCTACCACAAATATCTGTTAACATTCGGTTGCACTGGTTTTTAATATATATATATATATATATATATATATTTATATAGAATATAACATATATGCATATATGTTATATTATATATATTTACGCATATATGTTGTGTTCTACATTTATGTTGGCTAGATTATTTTGATTAAAATTTAAATGTCCATGCCAACAAAAAGTTGTTTATATCTCTAATATCGTTCGTTAACAAATTGATCGTTTTTTTTAATTTAAAAATGAATTTCTAATTTGTTTAAAAAATGAATTTATTTTCCGCAGATGTCGCATACTATAAACAAGAGGATAATTATTTTTATTATTTGGAATGTATTGAACAAGGTTATAAGAAACTTTTAATAAATTTGAAAATTAACGAAAGTTGCAATGGAAGAAATGGAAAATTCTCTCAAACCTTCATTAAAAAGTTAACGAAACGTTTAAATAGCATAAAATATTGTTTCATTTTCACCCATGATGATGTCAATCAACATCATCAACAACCTAAAAACTTCAAATCTTTCAAACCGACCAGTGCACTCTTCTTAGACAGAAACAGAGACATCATCATTGGCCTTGGTCAGTGTGGAAGTCAAGGTCAAGGCAGCCCAGAGAATCTCACAATATATCCACGAAAAGCCAATGATGACATAAATGAAGGTGGTGACGATCCTGATAAGGCTGATGATAATTATTTTATTAATGAACCTAGTGTTTTAGGTGATAGTGAAAAAAAAACTAAATATAAATGTGATAATAATAATAATAACACCGACAACAACACCAGATGTGATTTTTACAGCTCTTTCAATATCTTTTGTCAGTTACATGTTGATTCCATTTTGGCTGGATGTATTAGTAAATCTCTAATTCATTCAAACAAATTTCTCAAAGGGTTTTTAAGGTACCTAACTAGTTTTACTCCATCTCAATCGTCATCTGATGATAATAATGATGATAATTTGCTGCCAGTTCAAACATCATCATCACTATCAACTTCATCATCATTGTTATTGAATATAGGTGAATATATACAAATAATTAAACTAAATGAGTGTGTGAGAATTCCAATGTGTGTTATCATCCATCTGATGAATAGTGATGTTACAGTTAATCATAGTTGGTTTGTCCATTTTTTTTTATTATTTTAATTTTATTGTTTTGAAATTCAAATACTTGATAAGATGGTTATGTTAGTTGTGAAAATTTTTATATACATTTTCTAAATAAATGACTACTATAACTGTCTAGTTAAAAACTATCTAAAAAATTTTTTCTTCATGGTGATGATCTATTGAGAAATATGATACACTTGAAGCCGATATAAAAAATTTTTGTCTATGGACCCCCTATTATTTGTCTATGTTATTAAGCTATTAGAAAAACTATTTTATTAATAACTTTTTATTATTTTCAATTTTATTTTACTAAATATTTGCCAGCATTGTCTGTACAAAAATATGCACACAATAATAATGATGAAATAGGACAACGATATTATTTAAATACAAAAATGGAAATAATAAATGACCTTTAACCTGACCAGGTGCCACAGACTGACCCATTTGATGCGTGTGCAGCATGCCCTGGACGACACGATGAACTGGCTGAGTACGTTGGGCGGAGCCTATTCATCACTAGGGGAACAGGATTTGAATTTTGTGAGAAGAATCAATGAATTTAATTATTCAATTAAAATCAATGGATTTGATTAATAATTAGAATGAATTGATCAATTGAACTATCAATTAAATTGTCTCTATGTCATGATATTTAGTTTAGTTACAATTCATTCCCCAAAGGCATACTTAGCTGGTAAGAAATCAGAGCAACAGTTAAGGCTGGCCTTATTTTTGGATATTCCCCCTTTGGTTATGAGGTGCAAACTTTTTTGGGCTCTCTCTCTCGCCCAAAAGAAGAAGTTCAAGAGGGCTGAGGTCATTATTAGGTCAGTACATTTTATGGGTTGCAGATCAGAGTTAGACAGAGATAGGTCAAGTAAAAATCGTTTTTTTTCTCTTGTAGATGAAAATTATTTTTAATTAAGTTAAAATTAGTTTTAATTCAGTTAGATCTGATTTTTGTTTATTTATTTTTTCAAATGAAATTATCTTTTCTGATTCAGTGAAGTTTTTCTTTATAAACTTTATTTCTAAAATCATCATTTCTGAAAAAAAGCTGCTAAGTGAAATACATCTGTTCACTTGTCCATGGTTTAATGCATGTGCATGTTTTTTGTATATATATAAACACGTATGTGGCATTAGGTACACGTTTATTTATTTGTTTTTTCATCCATTTATTTCTTTGTTTGCACATTTATTTATTTAATTAAACCCAAATTGCCAGAGACCAGTACGAATCAGCCAAAAAGTTACTCGTGCCCGATCCAGTCCTATTGAACATGTGCAAGGGCATCTGGAGTAGGTTGAAGTACCACAAGCTGGCTGCCCGTGGAAGGTGTAATGGTCGTTGGAAGTGTGGCGATGTGGCTGATGGTGTCACTGCAACCAGACTGACGTCATCAATAACAACGGAACCATCAACACCGGATGTAGCTACAAACTCAATTGCTATTCTTACTACCAATTCAAGCGTTACAGTTGCAGCAAATCGAACGACAGCATCGGATACAACATCATCAATGACGTCATCGTCTACATTATCATCATGATCGTCATCAACATCATTATCAGCAACGTTATCAAAAACGTCGATACATTAAAAGTTTTAAAGTACATAGAAGGAATTTCTTGACGTCGATTATGATGATGATGCTAGTGATGATGATGATGATGAGGATGATGATGATGCTAGTGATGATGACGATGATGATGATGACGATGATTGCATAGTATTTTTATAATAAACAGATCTCTTTGAGTTTATCATTAATTTTTAATTTCAAATAATAAATTGCCAAGATGCTGATTTACCGTTAGAAATAAAATGGTAAAAATAATAATAATAATGCATATAATAATATAACGATAATGAAAACAATAACAATAATAATAATGACTAAGTTGTAATTTATATTTCATAATCTCATTTAATTATCTCATTAAATCTAATTTCATACCACTAAAAAATGAAGTCAACTTTGAAAAAATTGTTAAATAAATTTGTGTCTATAATAAAATTTTGATTCAAATTTCATTGTGATTTTATTTGACCTGTGTGTTTAAGTTTGTCTGTGTGTGTATGCGTGTATGTGTGTGGATGTCTATGTACTCGAGTGTGTATTGTGTATGCATGTGTGTTTGTGGATATCTGTTTGCGTGTGTGTGACCCATTTTTAAGACAAACTTTTTTTATGTCATCTTTAGCGATTTATGAAGCACAGGCATAACATTCCGAGCTGGGAGTTTTTGTGAAACGTGATATCACTCAAGTACCCAAATGTTTTTCATTAAATTTTAAAAATTCAAATATCAATTTAAAAAAAATTTACAAATCCGGTATTTTTTTCACATGCTGGCTTGTTTCTGTTTTTTTGTTGTATATTTTCGCGTCGTGGAGTTTGTATGTTTTTGATTTTATTTATTTTTTATTTTCGTCAGTCAGGATGGCGATGACTTTGTTGTTTTGTAATGATTTCAAAGCGGAGAATACAAATTTCAAAAATGGACTTTAATAACCTAAAAATTTTTGCACTGATGCAACTTTCCTTGGCTTGTTTTCTGTTATCAAATAATATTCAGTGTATCCATTTCCGTTTGTATGTTGAGGTGATAAAACAGAATATACATGCAATACATGTGTACCCTACGTCAGTATGATCACGTGAGTGCTTATTTTTGGTTGCGTTATGTCGGATTCTTCCTGGGTAGTTGAATAATTTGGATTGATAATGTTTGAAATGCTCCGTATATTAAAGGACTGGAAGTTTATTTCCTGCTTAGATCGCTTTAAAGTACAACGCTGTTGCTCAATTCGAAGCACAGTTTACGAAACTAGATCTTATAGCAAGTAGAATTATGGATCTTTGTTAGAATTCACTACTTTAAATTAAAACTTTAATACAACGTGTCTTTCGATTACTAGAGAAAAAAAATTTTTGCTAGGCGTACACTAAATTTAAAATTTAAAGTACTTTATAAAAGTACGTTTCGTTCGTGCGATCATCTGCCAAGACCTGCCTCATTAATCATCAACGAAAAAGAATGTCAAATATTCAATCGCACGTACACACACACACACACACGTACATAAACACACGCATGCATGTGCCATACACATACATGCACACGCGTGCGGGCACATCCGGACAAACAAGTTAATTTGCGTATGCGTGTCTGTACGTGTAGACGTCTGTGTGTGTGTGTGTGTGTGTGTGTGTATGTGTGTGTGTCACTGTGTGCTTTGTATATGTTAGTGTAAAATAAAATAAAATTGTCGACACTTGTCATCAAGTTTGTTAAAGAAACTGTAAGTTCGATACGTATATAAAATTTAAGCGTTAAATTAGGATGAGAAAGAGAAAATGGGTGAATAAATAAAATAATATAAAATGAATAATTAGGTGTACTGATTTCTGTACACACTGAGTTAATATATCACTTTTTATTCACAGTGAAAATATTTTAGGTTGACTTTACTTGTAGATTTGCTGGCTCAAAAACGTTCCTTCATTCGCAAATAGTAGACAGATTAGATACACACTTGTAAAGTAAGGCTTTCAAACACGAACATAGCATAAAGTTAAGTTTTTTTAACATTCAAATCACCATACAAACATGCAAATAGTACATTGCCATGGTTTTACCATAAAAGTATGTAAGCATCATGTGATTTGACAAAGGCACGCAAGAAAACAACATAATTTTCATTAAGTATATAAAATCAACATTTTTTCTTTTCATTATTTCATTTTTTTCGTAAATTAATTGTTTGAATTTGGCAAACTCACAAAAACCGTTGATGTGGTACGTACGTCGTGCAGGCTTGCCATCAAATAGATAGTGGGTAAATGATGAATTGAGATGAATGGTGGAGATGATGATAGGAATGATGATGGCGATGAAGATGAAAAAAATAATAAACATAACGATAGTGAAGATGCTAATGAAGAGAACATTGGTGATGAAATTGATAAAAATGTTTAGGCTGAGGGGAGCGGAGTATCTTTCAAACGAAAGTTGGGTAGGATTGTTTAACTTGGTTACTGGTGCTATTCTTCTTCATGTTTCTTTGCCTTATTCTCTGCCAATGATTTGGTTTTATAGATTTTGTTGAAGAAATGTATTAACTCGTTAATTGATTTACAATTAAAATGATTTTGTTAATTTTTCCTTAGCGTAAAAGATAAATTATTAAAATTGTTTGACCGATTGATTTGTTTAATTAAAATAATTTGCACGTTCAATTTTTCAGTTCACAAAGAAAGCACTGAATTGCTTCCCCGCACGTTACAAAAGGCAAACATTACAAATTGGACTCACCCTGACTTTGATGACCATTATCCTAATGGTCACCACCAAGACGATCAAGACGACGATGAACAGCACACACACAACTATTGTGGTCACTCTTTTCTGTGCCAGAGCCTCTGGAGAAGGTGGTTCTTGCTGATATTTGAAAGAGAGTTGTTGGAGATTATTCAATCGGTTAAAAGAACAAATTAGTTTGACTCAGAGAAGAGATTAGTAGTGGGATGGGTAAGCATAGAGATTTAAAAAATTTTGAAAAATTTTTTAACAAAAATATAGACTAATCTGAATATTGAGCAATATTTCTATGACATTTTACCGACCTTCACTAATTCGGTAGTGGCGATAGGAGCTTCAGGGGCTGTTGTCGTGGTAGTTGTCGTCGTAGTTATAGGTTCCGTGGTCGTTGTGATAGTGATAATAGGAGGAGGAAACGTTGTCATTCCCACTCTTGTCAAAGCTGGCACGTCTCCAGAACTTTCATCCTTAAGGAAGGTTTTGTGATGGCTGGAGTTCAAGGTAACGCTATAGTACTCCTTATACCCGTCTCTAGTCAGACTCAGATCCAACTGCACTCCGTAAAAACTTTGGTTCTGTGGGCTGTTCTGTTGGACAAAATTAGAAATTATTTTGGCGATGGAGTCCTCCAAAGTAACATCTTCATAACGTTTTTTCGGCGGCTCCTGCGTGGGCGGGATCGGTGTTGTTGGAAGTAGAGGAGTCGTTACGAAATATTTTCTGGAAGATCTGAGAGATTTTGGTCTGTCGATCCCGTTATTAGCAGTTTCCTCAGGTCGGTGGTCTAATGTTGGAATCGTAGTTGGTGCTGGTAGAATTTGTGGGACGTCGAAATTATTTGATATCAACCAGTCCTCAGTTGTTGTGCTCATGACCAACCCTTCACCTTCTGGGGTCGGAGTCTGAATTTCAGCCGTAATGTTATCACCCCACCCATCCTATTAAGAGTTTTATGAAAGTATTTCAATAGGTTGTTTTTTTAAATTAATTTGGGTTTTTTTTATTAACCTCGCTTGTTATCTGCAAAATTTAAAAACATTATTTCAAAATTTTCAGCTTTTTATTAAATTTTGTTATTGTTTGCAATATTTCATAAAAAAAATGAAAAATACATCCATAAAAGGCTTGATTTTTAAAAAATTCTACATGAACATTTTTGAAGATTTCGTAAATAAAATAAAAATGTTGACCAACCCATAAAAATTGTTCCGAATTCGCCTAAAAATTATTAAAAATATAATTTAAAAAATATTAATTGTAATAATAATTAAATTAAATAAATATTTATAACAATAATTTAAAATTTAATTTATGATTTTATTATAAGCTTCTCGGACATAGTCATTTTATTCATCATTGTTGATATCATAATCTTTATTATTATCATATTTATCATTATTATCTTGTCATCTTCTTCATCATTTTAATCATCATCGCCATCATCATCATATTAATCATCATCGCCATCATCATCATCATCGTCATCGTCGTCATCTTCGTCCTCACCATCATTGCCATCACAGTATAGAGGTACAATTCCCAGCACTCTGTTTCCTTGTTTACCAATCATTCATTAAACTTAGTAATACTGCTTTATTGGGGGTTTTGTTTTCGTTTGTTCTGTTACTACATTCTATCAAATAAAATACTAATAGTATGGTAGCTAAATTATAAATATTCTATTCACCATGTCAATACAAATCGTAGTAGATACATACTTTTGACTGTTTATATAAAAAGGGATTCATGGTAAAGTAGCTAAGTAATTTTCTAGGTTTCTATTCTAATATTTTTCAGAAGCAACATCAACAAAACACACACATACACCAAACACACACACACAGCGTAGTACGTAAGATTCCACGAGGCACAAACATTGCGCGTGATAAATCGAACACAGTCACTGAGGCAACACAACCAGACGCTCTAACCATTGAGCCATCCAGCCATTATTCCTATTGAAATTGCTAATATTGTTATTCATTACTATATAAAATAAATTCATTTGATTACTAACCGCCACTAACAGAATAAAGAATGATAGAGATATCATCTTTATCGCGTAACAAACTTTGATTCAAAATTTTCTGGTATCAATAAAAAATCATAAATATGTGTTTTATTTCAGCTATAAATATCTTAAATTATAAATGGTTAGTTTAAATAAAATGTGTTAATTCGAGTTTATATTATCTAGTGGTTATTTAAAATATGGTAATAATGTTTAAGATAATAGAGCGTTATTTGTCTTAATTTTTCAATATAACTGCAAAAATCAATCATGAAACAAAACAAACTTGTTGCGAGATAAGATAATTAAAATCTAATTATATTTTAATAACTTAATCCTAATTAAACCAAAATTAATAAATTTTATATATGTGTGTGTTCGTGCAATTTATAAAAAACTTAACAATGTCTTAGAATAAAAACCAAATAATTTTAACTTTTCTTACTAGTCAATTTACATCAGCGGTTTATTTATGATACAGACTTACTATATGTTCAGCAATTTTAATGTGCTCTACATTACTTACATGATGGCGAGATGAACCGATCCTCTTTTAACATTCTCTTTAATTTTTCTTTCTCTCTCTCTTTCTCTCTCTCTCTCCCTCCCTCTCTCTCTCTCTCTTCTCTCTCTCTCTCTCTCTCTCTCTCTATAGAAACAGAAATGTATTGATAAAAGTATATTATATATATATATATATATATATATAATATATATATATATATATATATATATATATATATATATATGTGTGTGTGTGTGTGTGTGTGTGTGTGTGTGTGTGTGTGTGTGTGTGTGTGTGTGTGTGTGTGTGTGTGTGTGTGTGTGTGTGTGAAATTGTAAGCTACTCATGTCTGCATGAATTTGATTGATGCCATTTAAATGCTGAGTGTCTCCCTTCATTAAATTTCTTAAGTTTCAAGTCAACGTTTTATCATTAAATTTTGTAATAGTTGTGGGTTTTTTGAAAATTTGTCATCAGATGTTTCTTCAAATTAAGTTTTGTCTTGAAAGAGTCTTGTCACCTTCAGATTAACCACTCATTACGAATCATCAATGTTTTTCTAATTTCGTCGAAAATTTTTTTTTAAATTTCACCAGTTCCCAATAATTCAATAAAATGTAATATTTAGAAAAACTTATCAACATTATTTTGGCCTAACGTTAAATGCTAAAAACGCTTTCTTTTACGTTTGGCAACAAAAGATTTAGTGATCGATAAGAAAAAAGAATAGACAAAACTGAGTAAATGATAGAGTTTTATTGAGAGCTAATATGTTTAAGGTGTCTTGTGAGGAAGGTCTTTTCCTGATATATTGACTGAGTGACGACTTGATAGTTACGCTTGCGTTGACGAAGGTTGTGTGTAGTAGTTTTGATTGGCGGTAGTAGAGGATGGTCGTTGTTATTTTCCACTTTCTTGAACAGTCTTGAATCGAGTGTGTTGAATATTTGAGTGACGGTAGGATATGGTGCAGGTAGATAGTTGAGGCGAATAAGTTTTTTGATGAGAGATTGTAGTTGCTGTAGTTGTTGATGTGTAGCGAAGACAGACCAGGAGGGAGCTTCAGGATGATGATGTCGAATAATTTGATGCCTCTGAGATCATGTGAGAGGAAGTGTTTTGAGTGCGTGAAATGTTTGAAAACCTTTTGTGATGATGTGATTGATATGAGGTGCTACAATAAGTTGGAGGTAAATGTGATGCCTAATGTTTTTAATTGATTCGAGCGAGTGATTGATGGGTGTTCTTCAGGTAATGTTATTTTCTTACGGCTGTTGTGAATGATGAGTTCGAACGAGGTTAAGTGACAGATTGCATAGCCTTGTAACTATTGCAATTGAAACTATTTTGTAAAGTTTTACGACGAAACAAAAACATCATTTAATTAATTCATTGGAAAAAACTTTTTGAGATATATTTGGTGTTGAAAATTTATTTTTCACTTTTGATGTTTTTTATCAAATATGTAAGAGTGGATCAGTATGTATTGGAATAAAACGTCACGCACATGCAAAGTAAAAGCCCAATTCATACCTGCTTTATGCCATCTTCTGATTGGTGCGATTTTTACATGTTTGGTGTCAGAACAACATGTATATGATATATTTAACGAAAAAGTTAAGTTAATGTAAATATCTACTTGCAGTTTTAATGTATTGAACCGTAAACTATCTTTTTAAGATCATAACTATTTGTTTTCTAAAGTATATGAAAATAAAATCATAAAGCTTTTCTTAACTAATTAGTTACTGGTGTCTATGAGGCATGTTCATTTTTATTGGCAAAAAATTAACAATACACTCTAGATCACATTATATTTAAACAGTGAACCAAACACATACAGTAATACTCCTCCCCAAAGACCTTCCCATTCCCGACTTTCTCTCTCTTTCTCTCTCTCTCTCTTTCTCTTTCTCTCATTCCCGACCGTTTTGTTTCTGACGGATTGTTGTTTTCACATTAAGCGCCACTCCCGATCTACGACTCCCTCTAAGATCCGATCAACGACCTTACAAAACACAAAAATTTATCATTAAGACGTAAAATTGACGACTTTTGTATTGCTATAAGTGTTCAACAGTTGAATTATTTTGTACTAACTTATGGATTTCAAGGCATTTCAGAAATTTTTGAAAATTTTCATGGTCAAATTCAAACAGAACATCTTAAAAAGAAATCAACAGTGGTTCAACTTCCACTTACTTCATTTTTTCCAAAAAAAAATTAAATCTTTAAGTTTAATAATACACCTGGTTTTTCCAAATTATATATTGTATGAATATAATACAATGCAGTGTACATTTACACATAAAAAAATAATGTATACATCTCTTGCACCATTTTTTATTTGGTTGTTAATATGCTTTCTTCCCATTTACGACCCCTACCTTTTGAGACCTGATTTCTATGACATATTCAAAGTTCTTAATAGGGAATACCACTGTACTTAATAATACAAAGCCATGCCATTGTAAACGCACGTACATACACTCGAACGCATGTACATACGCTCGCACGCACGCACACAACCACTCACACGTACAAACAGACACACGAACACACATACACGTGTTTGTGAGTTAATTAGACTTAAAAGTTGTCAGCGTTTCTACTTTAAAATTGATCAATATAGCTAAGTAGGCATGTCTTTTAGCTAAGTAGGCAAGTTTTTTTAGCTTAGTAGGCATGTCTTTTGGCTAAGTAGGCATGTCTTTTAGCTAAGTAGGCATGTCTTCCTAGTTTCCTGCGTTATAAATTTCAGGTTTTGAGATTAAAATGTAAAAATTAAAATTATATGGTGAAAAATAATAAATTTTGTCGGGCCATACATAAGATCGGTAAACTCTCATTCACTGCTTCTCATTTTTACATACTTTTACGTTTCATTTTATCTTTTAATGATTCATTTTCCAATTAATTGAACAATTTGAAATAATAATTCAATCAAGTTTCAAACTTCAAATGTGAAGTTACCTATTCTACTGATGTAATCCACCGTCCAAATTGCGCAGACAATGGCGACGATGATGCAGCACAACAAAACCGTGGCACATATGAAAACTTCCGTTGAAAGGAGGTCAGCTGATGCCACTCCAGTATCCGGGTCAGTGTCCGGGCGTTTTTGATTGGTTGATATTTCGAGGGGTCGACTAATGATTGGTGGATCTGGGACTGGTGGAACTGTGGTTGGTGGAAATGGGATTGGTGGAACTGGGATTGGTGTAACTGGGGTTGGTGGACTTAGTTCTTTATTATCACCACCACTCGTTCCAACCTCATCATGGCTAACAAAAGTGACCTAGAGTAGGGTAGAATAACTAGACAATCAAACCAATTTGTTGTAGTAGTCGTAAATAGAAATTTTTAAATTTTTTCGTGTGATAATTTCAAATAAATAAATTTGTTAGAGTAAGTACTTGTTCCCCAGATAAAGACGTCATACACATCAAAGTGACCATCGTAACTATCGTTAATCTCTCCGTAAATTTTCCAAGTGGTTTCGACTTGATCATCACCGTTTGCAATGTCTGTGTGACTAAAATTTTCATTATGGCATAAATATTTTGGAAATTGTAAAAACATATTTTTATCAACATCAGTGGTGACGACGATGGTGATGATAGTTTGGCGGTGATAACAACTAAGATGATGATAAAAGTATCCACCAGGTTTGTATGATGCAACTCTTGTTAGCCATGATGAGGCTTGAACGAATGGTGATAACAAACTAGCAATGATAATACGGATGATAATCATGATAATTATTGTTGTCTTGATAAACATGATGAAGCTACAAAATATTAAATCACTTCAGCAAACAGAAAAACTTCAAATTGACGATACTAAAAACTTGATACCGCGAAATAGTTGAAGTTAATGAAGTGAGCTCTGTCGACGAAAAATTTATTGCAAACCAAATAACATACAGTTCGATAAATATAATAACTCAAATTTTCTTCTAATTATACTGTTTTATAAAGAAAGAGAGAGATAAAGAAAGAAAGAGAGAGAGAGAGAGGGAGAGAGAGAGAGAGAGAGAGAGAGAAGAAAGAGAGAAAGGAATAGATAGAAAGAGAAGTAAAGAGAGTCATTCAAACAATAGATCCTTTTATAATGCCAAATATTTATAACGGCAGCAATTAAGAATTGGAATTTAATTGGGTGGGTTAATATCAGTTAGTTTGATAAAAACAGGAAAGCCTAATGTTAAATTAGCAATGTTTATTTAAATAACGATATCAGGAAATTAACATTGCAACTGTAATTATTATTACCTCTGCTACTACTGCTACATTTACAACTAATACAAATGATAGTAATACAGAAAACAGATTTTCGAAGTCTTAATTTGAAACTCCCAAGACATTGAAAACCGTAGAGGCTGTTAGCTTCTAATTAATTTATTTTTACTGTGAAAATAAAATTGTCCCTATGTTTTGAAGGGATTGTTATTGGTGTTATTATTATCATCATAAAAAATTTTGATTTTTTTTTAATTTATTATTTTGTATTTTATTCTAAATTAAACAATTTTCTTTAAATCAACGCGATCAACGCAAAAAAATCAACGCGATATAAAGTTTCATTAATAATAAACAGCAGTCAATCAAATTTGTTAAATCGAAAAAAAAATAAATGAATGACAGTTTTAAAGATTTTAATAGATATTATCATTATAAAAAAAAATTAAGTAATAAATATTTTATTTTAGTTTAATGTACTATTTATATTAATGTTGGTATCATTAATTCAAAATTTCATTTAAGAAATTAACAAGAAAGTGAATAGATAATGTATGAATCTTATGATACATGGATACATAAAATCTTATGAAAATATTTTTTAATCTTTTTTAAAAATGTATTTATAGTCAATTTTCTTAATCAGCTTCTTCGCCCCCTTTAACATTGTTCTCTGGTTTTATTTTCTGAGTTTGAAAATAAAACGATTATTAAACGATTAAAATTTGAAAAATAAAATTGCTTGACCAATAAATATGGACAAAAGAACATCAGAAAAGTTGAAAAACAATCATTATATAAGGTTGAAAAACATTGCCATAACCGCCGGAATGATCAAATTGCACTATATTATTTATTATTCGATAATAGTTCTTTGCTATATGAAATCTTTAGATTTTGAACTATAGAGGGTTATAAAGAAATGTTGTATTCATGCTAAAAATCTAGATTGTATGTACTTCCTAGGCAGTCAGGTTTCTAGTCAGGTTTAGTGTCAGGTTTCCAACAGAGAAAACGAATTATATAGTTATTTGGAGTAGTTTATTGTCTCTATTACTGTTGGTATTCAAAAAAACGTTCAACAAAGTTTGCGTTTGAAGCAGCTGTGTTCTTCCATCGGAAATCTTGAACCTACGGTATGACGAACACCTGACGATTGTTGGAAGCTACAACACTGGTGCAAGAAATATAGAGATCATTGAAGTTACAACATCGGTGTTGGTAGTTACGAAATTCAAGGGTTACAACAATATTCATCAGGGCGGTATGTTTATAAATTTGATATCATAATCTGCGCGAGTGAAACGTGTATATATATATATTTGTTTAAATAAGCAAGCAATGGTATGATCTACCATATGCGTGTATGTACCTGAGTGTATATGCCATATTTGGTTAATGTTGTTTATGAATAAATATCAGTTGTATTGTTTTTTGTCAAGCAAATTTCAACACTCTTAAACAGTTAAAGTTATTAAATTCTTTGAGAGTTAAACTGAATTGATATATAACTTAATCAATTGATGAATCTTGTAATCATTCATTGATTGAGTCAACGAATCATTAAATTAATTGCATACACTTAAACTGAAACCTTTTTTTTGCAGACCAGGCAAATGATGATGAGGAGGAAAAAGAAGACGACTGCCATGATGGTGACGACGATAAAGAGAATGGGAAAAACGCAACTCCATTTGTTCCCGACTTCTTGGCAACTTTTTGTCAACCTATAAATTAGATTGGTAGAGAAAATATCAACAACTGTCACTAACTTCACTGCTACCCCCACTTTGCTACTAACCCCACTTCGCCACTAACCTCAAAACTCACTCTGCCACTAACTCCACTACTTTCACTAACTTTTGTTTATTGGTGGTGATATTTTCTTTGTCATTACGATAAAACAACAATTTATTTTACAATTTTAATAAAAAAAATTAATAATTATTATAATATGTTATATTATTAATTAATTATTAATATATTTTTACAATTTTTACAATAGCTACAAGTCAATTTAATGCGTCATCAGATTTGGACATCCACATTTAAAGATTAAAAAATAAAAGGAATAAAGTCTAGCTCGACTAAACAATGAAATGTTTTATTTTTCATTCCCTAGATTTCAACCTAACTTTTACGTAACTTTAACTTAAGCCTATATGTTGTTATTAAGGTAAGTCAGGAGTGGGCAAACTTTTTGCTTTGAGGGCCGCATTGAAAACTATTCCACCTTTTTACCTTCGGAGGGCCGCATATGTCTCTGGATTTAAATAAAAATATTATCAAAGCAAAAAATACCAGAACATACCATCCAGTCATCTTGTCTGCTATGCTTTCCCTTTCAGTTTCACTAACATCATCTGTGAACGTATTTGTTAATGTAGCCGAAAGAGTCGATGTGACTTCAACAGCTGTTGTTGATGCAGCTTTTGTTGCTTCTGTTTCTATTGTTCTTTTAGTTGTTGTAGTTGAAACAGTCGGTGCGAATTCAACAGCTGTTGTTGTAGCTGAAACAAGTGATGTCATTTGTGTTGTTTCTGCTTCTATCGTTGTTGTTGATGATGGTGTGTCTCCTGTCGCTGCTGCCATAATCGCCATCATCGTCACCATCATCGTCATTGTCGTCGTCATCAGCATTACCATCTTCTTGGTTAACATCACCTACAACCTTCTCCAATTAACTTTATCCTGGATTATGACGGTGATGAAAATTTATATATAAGCTTGGATGAATGATTATATTTCTATGATGCGTTCATACATGAAATCATTTTGGTATGTTTTTGTGGAGGTGTATGTGGAGGTGTATGTGTGTGTGTGTGTGTAACTATGTATTCGGTACTGTGTGTGCGTGTATTGGAATGTGTGTGTGTGTGTGTGTGTGTGTGAGAGAGAGAGAGAGAGAGAGAGAGAGAGAGAGAAAGAAAAATGTGTGTGTGTAAAGTGTGCGTTCAATGTGTATATTTGTTACTTTATATATGTGTTTGTAAAGCACATATGTGTATGTATGTGTGTGTGTGTGTGTGTGTGTGCGTATTTTAAAGGTAGTTTTATGCATCTTTTTGGGGATTTCTATGGCGACCATGTGAATAAAAATTGAGTGAGATTAACAGTGTCGTAAATCAAGTTATGGTTTTTGATGGGAATTTTAATGGGCTCTTTCAGATGTGTTGGCACACGCAGTTTATGCCATTGTGTATGTTTTTGTATTTTTTTTAGTATGTTTTGAACGTTTGTATGTGCTTTTGTAAGTTTATATGTGTTTGTGTTTGATTTTATGTATGTTTTTTTGTATGTTTATGTATGCCTTTGTATGTTTTTTAAAGTTTAGATATGTACTTCAACAAATGAATTGTATTTTCGGTTCTTCAAAAGTTTTTACATTCATGTTCAAATTGATATGATGCTGTATGTTTATGAATTAAGATGTCACTATCATCATTATCAACAACACTCTTCTAATATCATCATCATCATTATTATTATTGCAAACATCGTCATCCTCACTATTACGATCATTGTCATTTTATAATAATATATATATTATATAGTATTATATATATTATATATTATTACAACGAGTTAAAATTTAAAAAATTAAATTTTCATAGGTTCATTCGGTCGGAATGCTACAAGATGATAGCAACGCAATAGTAATAAAAAAATTACAATTTAATCAGTTTTTTTTATTTCTACACTCATTAATTTAATTTTTTTACCTCCGCAAAATGATATTATAAATGAAAATAGTTTATAAATTTATTAATTTGTTTATGCTAATATATGAAAATAAAATCATTTTTGTTATCATTTGTTTACAATCATTATTTTCATCATAACCATTGCCATTCTCACCGGAATGATAACATGACTGGCAATTATTAACATAACCATCGTAATACTCTTCATCACAATCAGAAGCATCTTCATCAACATCAGCATCAGTTTAATTATCATTTCCGTCGTCATCTTAAACACAATTATCATCATCGTCTTCATCATCACCATCATCATCTTAGCCATCGTGCAAGAGACAGATTGACAAAATTGTAACAATTTATCATAAAAAATTTCCTACGTGTTGAGAATATATAAAAAAAAGTATGCGTGTGCGTGTGCGCGTGTGCGTGTGTGTGTTAGCATGTGTATGAACAATTTGCCTCGCTTTGAAATCATCCCCTTTTATACTGAAAAATTGCGTGCCAGAGAGTTCACATATGAACATATCACGATGTGAGTTACAGCGACGAGCCAAGTAACACTCTAAGCCAAATCTGGGAGTGTTGAGTAATTTGAAGCCTTACGTGCACACAATCTCGTCTGTTAACTAGTTAAACTCGCATTCCTTTTTCTTCCAACATAACCATGTCCAGCATGACGCTTGTTCGGCTGTACGTCTTATGTTCTTCATACAACTCGATCGTCTTTTACCTGCCAAACCCAAATCCTTCAAAAAGCTGTACACTGAACAGCCAACAACCTCTTGCACCGACCTTAACTGCGTACAGCAGTCATGGACGTTATACATGGAGGCACAACAATGTCTTGAAAGTACTAGCGTACAACAAAAGTACTAGCGTACAACAAACACCTTAACCCACGTTGTTTTATCTCACTAACAAGTTCTTCAGAATTGACTGTTTATATAGTGTGACTGCTTGCTTGCGTGACTATCTTATACGGTACAGCCAGTTCGACTGATATAATAGTGTCTGCTGACACTGACTGTACCACCACGGCAAGTCTCGCTCCTGTATCCTTTATGAACCAAAAGCAATTCCTCAGACTCTCCAAATCCGCCATGATCTTCCAATCTCTGCCGCTATCAAAAATACATCTTTGGTTGCAAGCCTCACTTCTTGTGGCTTGATCCAACTCACCCTCTCTTAGAAAATGGATTTTTTTAGTTTACACGGTGGCTTTGAATTTGCCTCGTCACAAACATTGGAAATGAGTTCCACTAGTACTTTCAATACTTTGTTGTGCCTCCACGTATAACATCCATGACTAAGTGCGTTCTTGCAAGAAGCCATTACGTGGGCCACCGTTTCCATTTCTCCGCATAAGCTACACTTAGCTTCTCCTGCTACCTTCTATCTAGCAGGGTTTGCTCCTGATGGTAACTGATCATACGTGGCTCTTATAATAAACGCCAGTCTTAATGAAGCCATGTTCCACATATCATTCAACGTTAAACTCCTCTGTAGCACACCCTCCCACGTTGTCCAACTGTCTTGTTGATTTTGTTGTACGGCTGCCACCACTCGTTCCATGACATATTCTTTTTTTTCTTTCGTTTACATCATCTGTTCCCTCACTTTAGTCGATGCCATTGACCACCACGTATTTGAAAACCAGCCCACACCATGTCCCGTACTTTGAACGGCTCCCACGGCTTCTTTAAATTATAATGTTTCTTCTGCGACTTGTATTTCTTTCTCTGCGTTCCTCCCTGTTTTTAACGATGGCTCCACTTTTTTTACACACTCGTCAGTTGACTTGTTTAACATTATTGAGACCTTGAATTCTTCCACCAGAGACTTCAGAGGTAGGCTTAGTAGCATGTATGTATGTATGTATGTATGTATGTATGTATGTATGTATGTATGTATGTATGTATGTATGTATGTATGTATGTATGTATGTATGTATGTATGTATGTATGTATGTATGTATGTATGTATGTATGTATGTATGTATGTATGTATGTATGTATGTATGTATGTATGTATGTATGTATGTATGTATGTATGTATGTATGTATGTATGTATGTATGTATGTATGTATGTATGTATGTATGTATGTATGTATGTATGTATGTATGTATGTATGTATGTATGTATGTATGTATGTGTGAATGTATGTATGTATGTTTGTATGTATGTATGCATGCATGCATGTATGTATGTATGTGTTCCCATGTGTATGTGTATGTAATCCGTGTATGTGTGGTTATGTGTGTGTATGTTTATTTTATCCTCCAAAGAAACTGTATGATCAAGAAATTGTTAGTATTCAGCACAGGAAACCATGCATCAATAAAATCCCAATAAACTGTCATTGCTAATACTAATACCCAAACGTACGAATACCCTCTCTATACACGCGATACCAGTACCGTAATATTTTTAGGTTCTTATGTAAAAATGTGAATGACAAAAATTTTGTATTAATTTTGCAATGTTGGTGAATGTGCGTTGTATTAACGGCACGAAGGGGAAGTTTGTATAAAAACAAAATAAAAATAATTGTTTGCAAATTTTTCAAAACTTATTTATAAAAAGATAGAAAAAAGTTTAAAAAATGAATGAATCCATAAAAACGTAAGAACACATTGCACAAAACTATTTCAAAAAATGCGGACGACGTGACAGACGAATCTTAGTTTTTTAAAATAACAAGCAAATAAGGAAGAAAAAAAACAAATGAAAATCAATGAAAAACATTCCACACAAAAATGCTTGCGACAAATGTTTTGTTCTACAAACACGAAAATATATTGCTGCCAACACTATACATGCTTATACATACATGCATACATACATACATACACACACATACATACACACATACATACATACACACATAGAAGCATATGACTGAAAAACAAAAAAACCGGTTTAGTAAAACTGCCATATATGAACGTACACCTCTACAATATATACAAAAGATGAGCAAAAACATATCTTATATATATACATTTATTTATTTATATATATATATGCTTTATATAT